AGCCTTCCAAGTAGCTGGGACCACAGGCGCCCGCCACAACGCCCGGCTATTTTTTGGTTGCAGCCATTACTGTTGTTTGGTGGGCCCGGGCTGGATTCGAGCCCGCTACCTTAGGTGTATGTGGCTGGTGCCTTAGCCGCTTGAGCCACAGGCGCTGAGCCCAAGCTACCCTTATTGCTGTATTTCACTTATTGCCATGTGCAACTGTAAAGTGTTCTATACTAGCACTACAGTTTATTATTCATCTCAAGCTCCACAAGGTCACAGAACTCTCTTTTCTATCTTTCATGGTTCCTTGCAGCTCACATACAGGTGGCACTTGAATACCTGTTAATCAACTGAAGATAGGGAACCAATTTTCCCAAACCTGGCTTCTAGGTTTCTTGTGACAGAACAGTCACACCATTTCCTTCTGTGGTATATAATTGGATTTTGAGAAAGAGCCTTATGCACTGTTGTAAGCCAGGTCTTCTAGAAGGGCAAAGATTTGGAATCCTCTTCCACTAGGATCAAAACTGGTAAGAGACCTATGAAACCACTGAACCACTGTGGTAATTTCCAGAGTGGACATTTTATTCAGCAACATATAGGAATAAAGTTATTACTAACCACCAAGTAATTTAGCACATTACAAATTAAGACAAATAAGAATCAATTATGGAATAGGAATGGCTTTCCTTTTGTGCCCTTGCTGGCAGACCACCTGAATACTCAGCATTTCTTATTGGCTGTGTACTCTTCAGTAAGTTAATAAACCATCCTTGGGCCTGTTTCAGGGTCTGTGAAAGGGAGACAACTAGTATCAATAACAGTTCTTTCTACCAGATAGTGTTGTTATGGGGATTGAGAACGTTAATGTGTATGGTGCTTAACACAGGGTCTGGCACAGAAGTTCTCTAACATGTTAGATGCCCTTGTTAAGCTCTAAGAATTCCTGTACCACCTCCCCATTTGTTAACCCATCTCTGTATTTAGGAGCACTTGGTCAAAGTGAAGAGTGTAAGGGGCTTCAATTAAAAGTCTTACTATACTACTGGGAGGACCAAAATGGAAAGGGAAGATAAACCAAGGAGAGAAATATCACAAAAGCAAAATGGGAAAATGGCAAATGGATCCTATTCAGTTATTTGCTACCATTTATCTCTTTCCCCAGGAGACAATCTTCTGCTGCCTCTGTTTCTTCATCTTCACAAAAGCAGCCATCATATAGGCCTGCCAAGCTGTTGTGAGATCCTGGACATGAAAGCATTTTGTAAAATGAAAAGCACAATGTACCTGAGTTACTGCTTAAGAGCATGTGTTCTGGACTCTCCAAGATGAGTGGCCTAAGACAACTCAACATCTCCAGACCTCAGTCTCTTTTATGACTATATTAAAATAAGGGTAATAAGCATACCTAACACTCAGGACTGTTGTGAGGGATAACTGAAATAATACAAAGTATTCGGGGCCTGGAACATCAGAAGATCTCAACCACTGAGAGTTACTAGCCTATTCACTGGACTCTTCATCCCCAAAGGTGAAGTGCAAAGAAACCAACACTGGCCCAGAACTGGGCTCTGTATACCAGTTGCGTGACCTTGGGCGAGTCGCTCTCTAACCCTTGGTTCCCGTGGTCGCAAAATGAGAGCATTTTGTGAGGATCCCTGGAGTCCTACCAGCTTTTTCCACTTCGCCGTTAAGGCTGCCGAAACAAAGGCCACCCACTCCCCAGCCTGTACCCGAGGGGCAACAACTCAAAATTCCTTCTGTTCAATTCCCTTTGCGGTGTGAAAGCAGGAGCGCCCAGGTCTCCATCCCGGAGAGATGCGTTCAGGCTTCGCCGCTACCCCTCGGTACATCAGCAACTTGCTTCAGCCTCTGCCCAAAGTTTCCCACAGCGCCTGGAGACCCGCCGTCGGTCAATCCCGGGCAGACCAGCGGACGCGGAGATTAGGGGCTGGGTCCTGGGAATGCCAAAGCCGCCCCCGAGGCCAGGCAGGGAGTGACAGGTGTGACGCACGGCCGCGGGCGGCAGAAAAGCGGAACGACTGATAGCGCGTGGGGGCGCGCGAGGAAGATGACGGCTGCGCGCTCTCCTCAAGCTGCTCCCGGAGACGCCCCCGGCCCCGCACTCCGGACCCGGACCCTCGTTCCACTTCCGGCTCAGAGGCGCCCCAGAGCCCACCGCTCCCGGAGCGGCGCGGCCGCTTCTGGCTCACGCTCGCATCGCGGGAAGGTTTGGGGACTGCCGGGGTGGCCACGCGCGCGGGGTTCTTCCCGCGCCAGCCAAGGCTGTCGGGGAGTGGGAGCACGCGCACCCGCGCGCGCAGCCGTAACCCCTTCCTCCCCGCGCGCCCCCTGCACGCCTACGCACCCACCCAACACTCACCGTCGATATCCCCCAGGGTCAGCTCATCACCCAGCTCCGTGAGGGTCTCCATGGTCTCTAGACCAGCCAGCTCGCTGCTCTCGTCCATTGCCCGGCCCAGCGCAGAGGGCCCCCCTGCCGTCCCTCTCAGGGAGACGCGGGGGCGGTGCCGCCGCCACCACCCATGACACCCAACAGCCCCCGCCCGGCACCGCCTCACCGGCCCGAGCCAGTAGCCGCCATGTTTGCGCTGCGCCCCGGCGCCGCGCGGAAGGGGCGGGGCGATATTCCCCCGCCCCAGCCAGCGCCCTCTGCTGCCCCGCCCCCAGGTCGCGCGCCCCCTTGTTTGTTGTCAATGGGACCAGGCTCCTATCAGCCAATCAGCTTGTGAAGCAGCGCGTGGGGTGATGGCGCGTCATCGATCAGCAGCTCAGATTTGCATAGCGAGGCTCCTCCCCTCGAGGTTTCCGAGCTACTGCAAAGAGTCGTTGCTGGCTCTTCAGCCCAGCCTTCTCGTCCTTGTTTAAGGGAGACGCTCCTTTTTTCGTTGGATCTGCTCCACAAGCACTCCGTCCTCCCGCGTGGGAATGAAGGGTTAACAGGCCACCCCCCACCCGCGACTGCCGGCCGCCTCTGGCGTGGGCTGTGGACACATTACGTCATCTTCCCAGCTGCGTCCCCCGCCCTGCGCACCACAAAGCGGGTAGAATCAAACCTAGCCCCCCAACACTGGGGGACGGAAGGAGTCCAGGTCATCTAAGTCTCCTCTCAGCCCCTTAAAAAGGAGGAAACTGAGGCTTGACGGGGGCCAAGGGCTGTCAGAATTTTACAACTTTTTTTTTTTTTTTGAGACAGTCTCACTTTTATCGCCCTCGGTGTAGTGCTGTGCCGTCACAGCTCACAGCAACCTCCAATTCCTGGGCTTAGGCGATTCTCTTGCCTCAGCCTCCCGCGTAGCTGGGATTACAGGTGCCCGCCACAACGCCTGGCTAAGCATTTTACAACTTACACGACTTGGCACCTGCTGTGACCACCAGCTTAAACCAAGGTTCCTCAATTCCTGGCACCCCAGAACCTTCAAAACAGCGCCAGTGGCTCGGCCCCTGTAGCTCAGCGACTAGGACACCAGTCACATACCCGGAGCTGGCGGGTTCGAACCCAGCCCAGGCCAGCTAAACAACGACAACTACAACCAAAAAATAGCCAGGAGTTGTGTCAGGTGCCTGTAGTCCCAGCTACTTGGGGGACTGAGGCACAAGAATCGCTTAAGCCCAGGAGTTTGAGGTTGCTGTGAGCTGTAATGCTACAGCACTCTACCGAGGATGACACAATGAGACTTTGTCTCAAAAAACAAAAAAACAGTGCCAGTGCCCTGGCCCCCTACCTGCCTCCCAAGGTGGGGCCTGGGTATGAGTATCTTGAAAAAATTCCGGGGGGATTTGGAAGTACTGGCACCCAGGATTTCTACTCCTTCAAGCACCTCACTGCCCAATCTTGCAGCTGGTCATGTAAACAAACGTGCAAACTTCTAGGAATTTATCGTAAGGAATAAAATTACAAGTGCTGAAAGAAGCGCTGAAATATGCATGCACAAGGACGTTCATCATAAGGTCTTCCATAACTGGGAAAAATTGAGAAGCCCAACAAGGGAATGAATGAATAAATTACATCCACACGATGCAATACCATGGCATCATTAAAAATTATGAACAAGGCAGTGCCTGTGGCTCAGTGAGTAGGGCGCCGGCCCCATATAGGGTGAGGGGATGGGATTGGGGGAGTAGTAGCAGGTTCAGCCCTGGCCAAACTGCAACTAAAAAAAAAAAAATAGCTGGTGTTCTGGCAGGAGCCTTTAGTCCCAGCTACTTGGAAGGCTGAGGCAAGAGAATTGCTTAAGCCCAAGGAGCTGGAGGTTGCTGTGAGCTATGACGTTAGAGCACTCTACTGAGGGCAACAAAGTGAGACACTGTCTCTAAAAAGAAATAATAAAAATTATGAACATAGGCTGGGCCCCATAGCTCACACCTGTAATCTCAACGCTTTGGGTGGCCAAGGCAGAAGGATTATTTGAGACCAGGAGTTCCAGACTAGCCTGACAAAAAAATAGAAAACAAAAAATATAAAATTTAGCCAGGCAGCGATGGTGCCTGCCTATAGTCAGAAGCTGAACACTTGAGCCTAGGAATTTGAGTTTACAGCCACTGCACTTGAGCCCAGACCACAGAGCAAGAACCTGCCTCAAAAAAACCCAAAAAACAAAAAGAACCCCCCGTAAGTGTATATTTATTGACAAGGAAACTGCACAATATCATAAAAAGGAAAAGTTTCCAGCCAATTTGTGAGAGGCTACGGTTGCTTAGTAGACAAGACTTAAGAGCACACAGACTGGGTGGAGACAGACACATGGATCCACTGATTTGCTATGTTACCTTGGGCTGATTAAGGAAAGGTTCTAAGCCTCACTTCAGTCATCTCTAAAATAGGGCTAAAATAGTATCACACATAGTTGTGAAAATGAGATCATTTCATTTATTTGACAATATTTATTGAACATGTCTGAGGCAGGCAAACATTCCTGCCCTCTGAGAGCTTCCAGGCTAACAACAAAACCACACATTGAACAAGCATAAAAATAAATAATAGATTATGGTACAAGTAGATCAAGGAAAAGTAATATATGTGATGAAAACTAACAAGGAACCTGACTTGGGATGTCAGGAAGACTGAAGAAGTATAAATAATATTTAAAATGATAAACCTAAAATTGTAAGGAAAGAACTGCATCTGGTATAGCCAGCGGAACAGATGACAGAGACAAAGGCCTGGAGGGCAAGAGAGGCTGCTGCCAGCCAGCACTTGGCATAAGTTCTGATACACACTAAGTGCCAATACCAGGTAGCCATTGTAATTGAAAAAATAAGGATCTTTGTGCTTACCTGAGGGGTGAAAAGGATGGAAGGCTCAAAAGCTGGTTGTTAGTTGTGATTGTATAAGTGGGATCTGGGGTGAATTTTACTTTCTTTTTTTTTTTGAGACGGAGCCTCAAGCTATCCCCCTGGGTAGAGTGCCATGGCATCACAGCTCATAGCAACCTCCAACTCCTG